TTTCTTTCTTTCTTTCTTTCTTTCTTTCTTTCTTTCTTTCTTTCTTTCTTTCTTTCTTCCTTCCTTCCTTCCTTCCTTCCTTCCTTCCTTCCTTTCTCTCTCTCTCTCTCTCTCTTTCTCTCTCTTTCTCTCTCTCTCCCTCTTCCCCTCCCTCCCTTCCTTCCTTCCTTCCTTCCTTCCTTCCTTCCTTCCTTCCTTCCTTCCTTCCTTCCTTCCTTCCTTTCTCTTTGTGTGTGTGTGTGTGTGTGTGTGTGTGTGTATGCGTATGTGTTTGAGACAAGGTCTTGTTATGTAGCCCTGGATGATTTGGAACTCCTGAATATAGACCAGGTGGACCTCCGCCTCCCAGGTATTGGGATTTAAGCCCCGTGCTACTGCTCCCGGCCACAATATTTAAAAAAAAAATTATTTGGGGATAATGTATAGCGGTCGGAGAACCACTTTGTGGAGTCTGATCTTCCTTCTACCATGTGATTTCCGGGCTTGGGACTCAGATTCTCAAGTTTAGCAGCAAGTGCTTTTATCTGCTGAGCCACCTCACTGGTCCCAATTTTTAATATTTGTATGGTTAATTAGGGTCTGAAAATCCAAAACAACCCATGCAGACACAAGAGTCCACATGAAGCAAGAGCTTTATTTGAATCAGGCGCAGAAACTGACCAGGCAGGGATGACAGCACCGACTTGAGACTTCGTCTTCCAACGTTGGTCTTAGTATTTAAGCACAAAAATTTTATTGTACTCAGGCCGCTGCTGATCAATGAGGGCCGAAGAACAGACTTGGAAGTTGAACTTCTCCTCAGAGCCAGAACGGTACTGAGGTTTTAAGCTCGAAAACCACAAACCGTCCAAAGATGCTGTCACAGTTCAGAATCATTTATTCTTTCATGATTAGGAACAATCATCATGTTTTTTGACCAAAAATAAGGAGGAAGTTGGCTAGCCATCCAGAACGTCTTCAGTCCCCTAGAGCCTGGGAACTTGATCTTCGTTTCTCCTTATGATCAAAATGGAGTCTGAAACAAAATGGCAGTACTTAGGGTAAGACTCATTTGTTTGATCCCATCAGTTCCACATAGCTCAAGTTGGCTTTAAACGTTCTATGTAGCCGAGGGACCAACCTCTCATCCTCCTGTCTCTACATCCCAGGTGTTGAGAGTCCAGGTGTGTACCACCGTGCCTGATTTATGTGGTTCTGGGCATTGAACTCAGGATTTAGTGTATGCTAGACAAACACTCTCTCTACTGAGCTATATATATACTTCTCGGAAGTATTTGATTTTAATTAATTAATGAATTAACTTTTGTTTTTTATTTTTTAATTAATTCTCTCTTTTTTTGTTTTTGGTTTTTGGTTTTTTGAGACAGGATTTCTCTGTGTAGTTCTGGATGTCCTGGAACTCACTCTGTTTTTTTGTTTTTTTTTTTTTCGAGACAGGGTTTCTCTGTGTAGCCCTGGCTGTCCTGGAACTCACTCTGTAGACCAGGCTGGCCTCGAACTCTCGAACTCAGAAATCTGCCTGCCTCTGCCTCCCAAGTGCTGGGATTAAAGGCGTGTGCCACCACTGCCCGGCTTAATTAATTAATTCTTAATTATGTTTTTTGCAGGAAATATTTATAATCTGTACTGTTCATCAGAGGTTAGATATAGCCACACATGGGCATTGAGAATACCAAATTTTTTTTTTTAATATTTATTTATTTATTTTATTGATGAGTACACTGTAGCTGTCTTCAGACACACCAGAAGAGGGCATCCAATCTCATTCCGGATGGTTGTGAGCCACCATGTGGTTGCTGGGATTTGAACTCAGGACCTCTGGAAGAGCAGTCAGTGCTCTTAACCGCTGAGCCATCTCTCCAGCCCCCAAATTGTTTAATACATGGGAAAAACTGAACTTTAACGTTAACTTGTATTCATAATTTATTTATTTTAATTAGTCAATTAATTAATTAATTAATTAGTGTATCTTTTTTATTATTACTATTATTATTATTGTTTTTTTGAGACAGGGTTTCTCTGTGTAGCCCTGGCTGTCCTGGAACTCACTCTGTAGACCAGGCTGGCCTGGAACTCAGAAATCCGCCTGCCTCTGCTTCCCAAGTGCTGGGATTAAAGGCGTGCGCCACCACTGCACGGCTAATGTATCTTTTTTAGATAGGATCTCTCTGTATATCTCTGGCTGTTCTACAACTCACTATGTGAACCAAACCTACCCAAACTCAGATTGTTGCTGGGGAGGTCATTCTACACAGGAAACCAAGGGGTGAGGCCGGGGTGGCTGGAGGAGGATGTGAGGATAATTTCAGGATGCTAAATTTGAGGGTTTGGGGCTGGAGAGGTGGCTCAGTGGTTAAGAGCACTGACTGCTCTTCCAGAGGTTCTGAGTTTGGTTCCCAGCAACCACATGGTGTATGGTGGCTCACAACCATCTGTAATGAGATCCGATGCCGTCTTCTGGTGTGTCTGAAGACAGCGACAGTGTACTCACATATATAGAATAAATAAATCTTTTTTCAACATTTGAAGCTTCTGTGATGTTTGTATCAAGGAGTTTAATAAAGTGGTAGGGAGATCACTTTGTTTTGCTCTATTACTGGGATATGTTACTCTGTAGCCCAGGATGGCTCAGGCATTCAAGTCCTTTTTTTTGGGGGGGGGGCTGGACCTCTCTGCATAGTCTAGTCTAACTGTCCTGAAACTCACTCTATAGCCCAGGCTGTTCTTGAACTCACGGAGATCCTCCTGTTTCTGTCTCCCAAGTACTAGGATTAAAGGAGTGTACCACCACTGCCTACCTGGCTTCAAATCCTCCATCTTTAGCCACCAGAGTGGCAGGATGGCAGGTGTCAGATACCATGACCGGTTCTCTGAGGCTCTTGGAACCCAGACCTGAGCTCAGAAGAGAAACCAAGATGGGGACACACGAAGGCTCCAGAGGGGCTCAGGATCCAGGTGAGGACCCTTAGTACTTCATGGGACATTCGAAGGGGAGCATTGTGGGACTGGGGTGTGGAGTGCTTGCTTACCACACATGAAGCCCTGGGGACCATCCCCAGTACCACATCAAGAGGATGAGAACTCTAACATTAGCCTGGCTGTGGTGGTGCACACCTTTGACCAAAGCACTTAGGAAGCAAAACACTTGAAAAGCAAAGGCATCTCCATGAGTTCAAGGCCAGCCTGGTTTATTTTTAATTAAAAAATAAAAAAAAAATAAACGAAAAGCCCAATGTTATTTTGAGCTACATAACAAGTTTGAGGATAACCTGTGCTACTTAAGGTCATGTCTGGAAAAAAAGGGACTGGGGAAACTGGAGTGCTAGTGGAAAGTAAAGGCAGGGAGGACATGCACGCACACATGCACGCACACATCACATTTTAGAGAAACCCAGAGGCAGATCTGTCCTTACGTTGCAGAAGAGGGAAAAACTGAGAGCTTAGGGTCACGGAGACTGCTCAGTGGATAAAGCTTAGGGTCACGGAGACTGCTCAGTGGATAAAGGCGCTTGCGGCCAAGTCTCAGGCTGAGGGCCATCCCTGGCATCCATGGGTGAGAGGGGAGAACTGATTCCTGCAGCACCCCCCCCCCCCACACACACACACAATGTAAAAAACATAATGCTACAGAACTGGGAACCAAGCACGGGTTCGGAGTTATGGGAGATTCCCTTCATGTAGGCGTGGCCTAGAGAACAGAAACCGGAAATCTGCCGAACAGATCCAGAGCATGAATGTCTGTGCCCTTTCTTGGAAAGGCCTCCAAAACTTCAGAGATGGTGGGGTCACCAGATGAAGGGGCTTGGATTCCCCAATGCGTGTGTGAGGCAGGGCCTTCCACACCCACCAGCAATATTCTAGAATAAGGTAAAGGTAAAGGCTTAGATTGGGGTTCGACTCAGATCCTGGGTCTGGTCTCACAAGAACTGTCACATCCACCACAGACCACTAGGAGAGTCATTATTTTTGGTTGTGTTGGGGATGAAACCTGTGGATTTATTCATGCTACGAAAGTACTTTTCTCTAGGAGACACCTTGCCCTACTTTTTGGATGCTTTTGGTAATGGATATGGAACTACAAGTAGTGGGGAAACCTGGATTTCAGAATTTTAATGAAAATTCCCAGAAATAAGCCATACCGACCTTGAACACTCTACAAGGTTGATTGACAAGTTTTGGAGAGTTGGAATGCTACAGATCCAGTCTTAGCCCCCTAAATAGACATTTATTGCCCATCTCTTTGAGTGACCTAACATCCTTGTGATTGTCACAAGAAACCTCGGGGAATGTATAAACAGATACCTACCATCTACCAACCCAAAGCAAGAATGTCCCCAGAGGCCTGGAGCAGAGATTGGATTGTCTACCTGGTGTACCCACAAATATATTTTTAAAAATTTTACAAGGGCTGGAGAGGTGGCCTAGTGCTGTTCCAGAGGTCCTGAGTTCAATTCCTAGCAACCACATGGTGGCTCACAACCATCTGTAATGGGGTCTGTGGCCCTCTTCTGGTGAGTCTGAAGACAGCTACAGTGTAGTCACATATAAAATAAAATTTTAAAATTCTTTAAAAAGGGCAGGCGGTGGTGGCACACGTCTTTAATCCCAGCACTTGGGAGGTAGAGGCAGGTGGATCTCTGAGTTGGAGACCAGCCTGGTCTACATAGTGAGTTCTGGGACAGCCAGGGCTACAGGGAAACCCTGTCTCAAAA